TATGTATATAAAAAATCACTACCAAAGTTCGCATCAGTTCATACTAAAATATAAAAGGAAGGGGCTAGGCCTGGCCACTGTGTCATTGCTGATTAAATACATTTAGAGGATCCTTCTCCAGCATGGCCTGTCCAAATGTGTGGGACTGCAATGCTCCAAATGTCTGGCCTTTGAGAGCTGAGGCCCCAGCATAGTTGGAGGGCGCCTGGTTGGGGAAGGCTGAAAATTTAGAATCATCTGAAAAAGCTGAAACTTTACATTGGATTACTGATGGAATTCCAAGACATGTACAACATATATAATGAGATTATCTGCTATCACTAGAATTCAAAATGATACATCCCACGTGTGGTGGCTTATATACAGAACACAGGTTATATAGCATGGGTGACTTCAGTTTGCTTTTTGTTTGAAACAAAATTCTGTAAAGACAATACATTCTGATTGTTTGGTTACTGGTGAACAAACAGCTTTGTTTCTGAACTTTTATTTTTTTATTTTTTGGTAGAATTCTTATTACAGTATTAAAGTATTGCTTAGCTGGCAGAATCTCATGTAGTGCTTGCACACGGCGAGAAATGGATTGAAATTAGATTCTGCACCCTTTATGAAACTCTACAGTGTATTGATGCAGATTTCTCTGTTGAATCTGCCAGTGTGTCTAAGGCCCCCGTCGCTCAAAATATAGTTAGACCAGCTTCAGTCTGCTTTTCCAACCATTTTACTTGGCAGAAAAAAAAAACCCAAACCAAAAACAAGTAGGAAACCTTTCAAGCAAATACACTAAAGAGTAAAAAATAAGTAGTTAGTGTTTTTTGTAAACAATTTTATATGCAATATATATATTACATAACCATGGCTGATATTTGAGGAAAAAATGTAGTAAAACTATATTGCTTTAGTCTTTTTGTATCTTGCATTGAATTAGATGGAAAATGAAACAGGATGTTTTTGGTGGCTGGAGTCCCTAGCCCACATTCATACTCCAGACTGAAAGAGCTGTGCAGGGTTAATGGCCGGGTGGAGAAGAGAAGAAAATTAAAAGTCTGTACACCTTTCAGGTCATTATTATTTACCAACAATTACCCAATGATTCAACTACCCTAGCAGGATGTGTCACATTCATCAGCTTGCGTATATACCGCTGTACAAGAGAAAGAAAAATTACAGCAACAGAGCCATGCTACCTTAAAGTCCAAGCTACTAATTCAAATCAAAATGAACATTATGCAAATAAGAAAGAAAAAGGGACAGGTTGCTCTTTGTTTTAATCAAGCCAACTTCAACTTAAAATTGGATGACAATTTGTTTTTTTCCCCTTTGGTGGGAAGAGAAACAAGATGAACTAAAAACGCCGATAACCTATGGGTAAAATTCTGGCCCTTTGTTCAAGTAAGTAGTAAGAACCAACCAAAACAAAATGTATTTCAACATGCTAAATTATTTCTAATCTTTTTGATCCTTCTGACACCTCTTACTGGGTTTCTGTTATCCAGACTGCTTTATCAACAGATAACTTGTCCTGAGGCACAAAACAGCATTTTTCAATGCTCTCCATAGAAATGTGCAAAGTACCTACTGCTGTATACTAACGGTGCTAACCACTGAACTATATTTTGATTTTTGCTAACTCCAAAACAGGAGTGTCCACAAGATGGGTGATAAAAAGTCAAGATGGCGTCCACAACCACGCGATCGAAGCCCCAACCATTGTGACAGGTGTAAAAAGTGGGCGGGGCTTCAAGTGCATGGCTGTGGACTCCATTCTGACTTTTTGCCTCCTCCCCGCAGACCTCCCTGCTTCAAGGCAATGCTTGTCCGGGGAGATTCGGAACAAACCAGTACAATGCTGGGATGGCAATCTTTGCCTGTTCTCTTGACTAAAATAAAGTTGCAGCTGAACCTTTTGTGTTTAAAATCAATTTCCCAAAATGAAAACAAATTCTCAAATTGTTTAATATGGACTTCTAGGTGAGTGAGGGAAGAAAATGAACCTTACTCTAGGCAGCCACCTAAAAAACATACCAGGTTCCACACAAGTTGTGCTCTGGGCCACAGGGGCTTCCCAGAAGGTATAGAACTATCTAAAACATATTCACAGAGATTATCTACTTTTCTTCAGAGTATCCTTTCTTTTAAAAAAATACTTTTTTTCTCTTTGCAAAATCATTTCATTATACCATGCCTCCCTCTTTTTTATTTTAAAAAATAAACTAAAAAAATCCAGTTTTGCATATCTAGCATTAGCATTTAAGGTAGTATGGCACACCCTTTTTATAAAAGTTGAAGGGTGGGGGAATCTGCAAAATGCTGCAGTAGTTTTGCCAGCATTTATTCTTTCTTTCTTTCTTTCTTTCTTTCTTTCTTTCTTTCTTTCTTTCTTTCTTTCTTTCTTTCTT